TCAGAGAAATTTCTACCGTGCAAATTTCATAACTTTTCTCAATTTCTATGAATATCTGCGAGTTTTTAAATTTGACTAATTTTCCATACTTGTTCTGTTTTTTGATTGGATAAAGCAGCACTTGAGATTGGATTTTGACTGACTTGTGGACAGAATCTTGAAAAGGTGTCTCTAAGAAATTGTAACTTTTTGAATCTATTTTCCAATAGTATAAAGTTTATACGTTTTGGAATTAAAAAACTTGAAATATGATTTTTCAAATAGCATTGCGCAAAACTGGAAAATTTCTGTTTTCCTAAAACTGTCCTTACTTTCATTTTTAACTTTAAGTTGGAGTTGTTAAACCATTTTGAACTTGGTTTATGAATCGAATAAGAAAATTCTTGGTTACTCATGTCCCTTGGGTTTAAATGTTCTCTTTTCACTCGAATAAGGAAATTCTTGGTTACTCATGTCCCTTGGGTCTAATAGTTATTGTAAGTCCCACAGACAACCAAGAGGGGGGGTGAATTGGGTTGATTAAAATCTTAACCAAGTTTATGCACTTTTTCTTTAATGAAAATTTACCTTCCTTTTTAGTAATGATCAACCAAGTAGATTAGAAGACAATAGCAATATTGATCAGAGAAGCAAGTATAGATAAGCAATGAAGATTTTATTAAACAGAAAAGTAAGATAGGGAATCAAACCAAGTGTCTACCAAGCTGTCCTCAAACTTGAAGACCAAACACTAGGAAGAGCAACTTCTTCTTGATGAAAGAAGATCAACTAGATGTACAATGGAGGGAGCACTTCCTCCTTGCCCTAAGCCGCACTTAGTCAAACTAAGAAGTTTTACAATCACTCAGAAAACCCTCAACAAAGCTACACTAAAGATTCTTTCAACCACAAAAGAAATGCTCAACAGAAATTCACACCACTTTAAAACAAATCTGTTTTGGAGACTATTTTCTAGCTAAAATATCTCTTGAGAACTTGTAAACAAAGTGTGCAAAAGTCCCTTCTTGGTTCAGACCAGTTTGATTTTAAAGGGATCCAGAAATGGGATTCATCAATGCTTCCAACGGATAGAAGGCAGCTGAAGAGTCAACTAGCCGTTGGGGCTGTCGGACGTCCGACGATCGAATCATCGTCCGAACGAATCGTCCGATGATAGCCAAGTTGAGGTTCGGACGTCCGATGAGTTTTTTGTCGTCCGACAGCACAGCGTCCGACCTTGGGCCGAGAGCTAGCAAGTTATCTTGGAATTTTTCGGACGTCCGATGCGGTTGATGAGCGTCCGATGGCAAGCGTCCGATCCTTCCGGACGTCCGATGCTTCCATGTGAGCGTCCGACGGTGCTTCCTTCCTGATGTTCTTTATCTTTTCGGACGTCCGACAGTTTCCTTTTGGCCGTCCGACCTGATTGTCCTGTTTTTGCTTCTCATTTTGGTTGTTTTGCATTTCATGACATATTTGAACCTGATTCTTGGATAGACAAAAACACTTGTATTTGAAGAAGGTTAGACAAATATTTCAAAGTACCAAGAATGACAAACTAGACATACTTAAAAGATAATATCTTTGATCGAAACAAAACAATGACTAAATTCATTCATATTATTCCAATCTTGTTTGCCACATCCAAAGCAACGTAGTCAGGAGATAAACGAACATATGCTTTCTTTGTTCCAACAGACCTGATCAAAGTGTTCACTTTCTTGGTCTGTATAAACAAACTTTTGTGATCATCAAAACCAAGAATAACATTCTCCCCCTTTTTGATGATGACAAAACAAAAGTTTGAAATGAATTTTGATTGATTGCAATGAAAACTCCCCCTTTCTAAATAGACTAGAACTCCCCCTTTCTTAGTGAATCATAAAAAATTTGAAAACCTCCCCCTCACTAGGCTGCCCAACCGAGTTCCAAAAACATGACAATTAAGCAACTCACAACCAACATATTACCAATTCAATCCATCATCAAAATCCAAATTTAATTAAACCATCAATCAATTCAACATATCCATCATCATCAAATCCAACATATCAATCATCAATCAGATCTCTCCCCCTTTTTGTCATCACAAAAGGGCAAACCAAAAACCTCCATCTTATACACAAATACATCTTATCCACAAATACAAACCAAAAACAATTCATTCCATTCACACAAACAGAATAGACAAACATCACCAGTACTTAAACATCACCAATAACTTCCATCAAGATACTTAGACCACCAGTACATAAACATCACAGGACTTAAACATAAACAAGAATATCCATTATATTACACCACAGTACTTAGAACATCCATCAAAACACACCAAAAGAAACTTAGAATATCCATTACATAACATATTCATTGTTGAATTCCACAAACACCTAAAAGAGACAAACAAAATGCAAATGTCCTAAATGATGATCTAAGTGGATCCAGGTGTCCTCCGAGAGAGCTGATATTGGTCAAGATCCTCCTCTTCAGTCTCTTCATCATCTTCAGCAGCCTCTTCAACTGGTGCCTTGCCTTTATCTAATGTAGAGGTGCCATGAGGAGTCACAGGGGTTGAAGAACCAGGATCCGGAATTGATGAACTTGGATCAGTGGGGTGTGACTCTTTGTCATGGGAAACTTCCTCAACCACAGGTGGAGGAAAAAGAAGATTCTTTTTGTCAAGAAAGGCAGTTTGTTGCTCAGAAGACATGGTGAGCATGAGACCATGTTCTAGAAGAAGAACATGCTGTTTGAGTTCTTGAAGAAGCTCAATTACTTCATTACTGGAAGAGGAAGATGCTTTAGTGGCAGACTTTCTAGGGTGAATGGGAGTGAGTGAAATGGGTGAAGGATCATGTACAGTCTTAGACCTCTGTTCACTAGATGATGCCCCCTTATATGCCCACAGATTATCTTTAAAAACAAGATTTTTTCTTTCAAAATATGCTTTGGTAAAGGCATAAGAAGATGCTTCTTTGGGACAAACACCTAGAATTGGAACTTTGTAAAACTCAAAAATCTTTTGAAGAAACTTTCCATAGGATAGTTTTCTTCGAGAGTCAGTAGCATAGCGAAGTAAAAACTTGCACATAACAAAACCAAAATCAATCCGGATTTTTTCTCGAAAACAATAAAAGAGATACAACTCCATTTTGTTTGCATTAGTTCTGTGGCCATCAGTGGGCACAAGCAGGTTTGAAATGATAGAAAAGGCAATTAAATTCACAGGGGCCAGATCATTCAACTTAGCATCAGCAGGTGAGGAAAAACTTCTTTTGAAATAAGTTAACATTTTTGTCCCATCAAAATGATTTGCAGCAGTAGGAAGCTCTTCATAGGAAAAGAAATTAGCAACCTTATCTTTGCATAAACGTTCAATGGTAGTATTTAAAATGGAATTCACAGTATCAGAATCAAAGATTATGTCTACCCCATTTACCCTAGACATGATCTCAGTTTGGTCAGTTCCTTTCCTAAGATTGGCAAAAAATTGATGCAGCATATCAGGATAGTAGACATTGGGCATGGAAATTTATCTCTTGATACATCTAACATGTGCCTAATTAAATTCTATGTCTTTTTCAAGATCGCAAGTATTCAATTAAATCCTTTAAGAACTTTGGTGATATAAGTGCGTCATACCATACAGATCCTAACCTACTCTTGTGATTAGACTAAATATGTTTATCTATCTATTGCACGGCTGTATCTCCTTTCTCAGTTCAATACAAACTCTAAGAGCATGTCTATGACGGCCAAGCATAAACACATAATTAAAATTGAGATAGATAAATCATAACAAAAGACAAGAAATTAAATGAGAAAAATTAATCAAATTACTTCATCAAAACCCTAACCCTAAAAACAATTTAGTTCAAAATGATTAGAAAATTAAACCATGAATTGTACGAGTTACTACAAAGTTATGAAAAAGAGTAACAAAGCTTCTCAGTTGCTTGCTATAATCTTCTCCTTGCACACTCATTGATTCACCTCCATTTGATCTTGATTTTTAAAGAATAAACTATGAAAAGATATTAAAACAAAGCTAGGCTCATCTTTTCCATACCTAAAAATGCCCTAAATAGCCCCTATTTATAGTTTGTTAAAGTAGCATCCGAAATAGGTTAGGATTGGACTTATTGGAGCTGAAAAATAACAATTTCGGGCATGTTTCTGATGAACACTGCCACCGATACCAGCCTAAACTCCAACACCGATGTTGGGACCTAAGAAATACCAGCGAGAAGACCAAAATTAACACGGGTGCAAATTACAACTGATCAGTGGATGAATCGCTTGTGATCCGTACACAAATCCAATTTGAAGCAAAAAATCTCTCTTAACAAGGCCAAATCAACTCTTGCTTAAAACATGAAAATTATAGTCCTTTGAATTATATTTCCAATGCCAAAACATCATGTTATTTAGAGGGTTGGACTCTGAAATATGCCTAAAATACTAAGAACTAGTTGGAAAACATTGTAGCGCAACTATACTTCAATTTTTGGACTTTTGGCTATGAAAACGTGAGAACCAAACTTAATATCTCATAAGAATTGTAGAGTATTTCTTAGCTTCAATTGAATAAAAAATCATTTTAATCCAATCTTGGTAGCTCAAGTTATTGCCAAAACACTAAAATATGTCAATCCTATGAAACCTCTTACTCTTCATGTTTTCTTCTTCCATTACTTTTTCATGCCACATTTTTTGCTTGTTATCTCTCCAATTGAGCTCTTGAGCTATTAGAACAATATAAGAGAAAAATCAAGTAGTTTCTACTCAAAATAAAGCTCAAATAATATTAACTAGTGACTTATATGTATAAATGCACTACATTTTATACTCTATCAAACACCCTCACACTATGCACAAGAATAAAATCCATTAAATACAAACAATGGCTATATTCAAGGCTATCATTATTAAATCAACCATTCCAAATAAGTGTCAAGTGTCAATAGTGAAAATCAAAGGGACACTTCTTCGATTGGTTTTTGATACCATGGACCCATATGCTAAATAAGAACCAAGACTCTTGCTGCTTCAGTTTTGATCATAGCAGGACATAAAGGAAAGGAGAAGAAACATGTGAGGCATAAAAAAAATGCACTTGAGACAAACTAAAAACAAACTAAGCACCACTAAAGGCTCAAAGTATCATCCATAATCCTTCACTAGCTGCAGCGCTTTTTCCCGAAGGCATGCTTGTTTAGTCCCCTTTAAAGTACAAGACATGGTTATTAATATGCTATGGAAGTTTCTGCTTCTGCAACATTATCACTGGTTGGTAATTGAGTCCAGGATCACCCTAGATGGAGTTTTTCCTTGCAGAAAGACAGCGGGAAAGCATAAGACGTGCATTGAAAATAAAAAAGAATGGGTCAATGGTCTAGCTGGAGGTTCAAAACGGCCTCCATTCTTAAACTGGATATCTCAACATACACAAGACATGAGATCCTTGATGGTAGAGCTTATATGTCAAACCAACATACCGTTGGACCTCTCATTTCTTTGTTTTTCTTTCCGACAACAGGAGGGTGAAAAAAGACACTAAGTACAAAATAAAGTTTTTATCCAGGATCAGCTTTCAGAAGTAAGGAAATCTGACTCCCTTATCTCTTTGTCTTTTTAACCATGTACCAATTGTAAAAAGGGTCTACAGAAAGAAATAAAGTCAGTTATCACAAGGATCTATCAGTTCTTTGTTTTCCTTTCCAACAGGAAAGTATAAAATGAAGTAAAGTTTTTATCCAGGATCTGCTTTCAGAAGTGGGGAAAGCTGCTCAGATGTTTCACCATAACCTCTTTCATTTCCATCATTCAGTGAGTGTAAAAAAGGTCTATCCTATTTCTAATGTGTCAACAAAAAGAAAATAAACTCAATTTCACAAGGATACAGGAATCCTGTTGTGGAGAAAAATCCCCTTCCTGGAACCCAATCTGAACAAAAAGAGAACATGGGAAATATGAGCAGATCATGAAAAGTTGGTTAAAAAAAAGGAACTTGAATAATTTCAACCATTAAAGAGAGCTGAAACATTAATCAATTGACATTTACCGGGTCTATCGCTTCATATGCATCAAAATCCTCTTCATCAATGTCATCGTCAATGTTATTCACCTCATCTTCTTCATAATTTACTGCATCATTTGGTTCCTTTTCTTGATTTTCAACCACTTCTGCAATGAAAACGATATCCTAGTGACACTTCAGAAAAAGGTTGTTTTATAGCTTCCAATTGTGCAAGCAATGTAAGACAAAATTTCCATCAAGACCAGATAGCAAGTAAAATGTGAAGCTAGAAATACAATAATCTTTTGAGTCGTAGGAAAAGCTTGTCAAGATTATATATGCAAATCACTTTTACAAGTATTTGAAGGGAAGTAAAGACAAAGTAAAATAGCCAATAGGATTCACATTTACTTCGAGAAATACATTTCAAGTTATGAGAAAATAGTAAGTCTACTATTCAACAATTTCATTTACACTGAAAGTGGCATAGATGTAGAAGTTAATATGACCTCTATTGTCTTGCTGCCTTTCCTCATTTGCTTTCGAGTTCTTTGGATACAGACGCATCTTTTTTGACTTTTCAAAGAGGTCACATTCAGATTTCAGGATTGCCTCTGCACCGACAGAAACCTGACAGCAACCCGGTGTCTCAAGGTTTCAAGCACATTGGCTGAGAACCATCCTGTTGCCTTCTGTATCAGATTCAGATTAAAATTGTTGTACAGATTAAAAAGTTACCTTTTACAGAGATTTTCATCATATATGCAATCAAAATATCGGTAACAAGCAGAACATTGGTAAAGATGCATTTGAAAAACCAGCCAAAGAAATCAAGCATGCACAAGTTTATCGATGAGTAAAATTTTGATACACTGTAGCACAACCATACAGATGCAGGGAGTCCAGCACAAGTTCAAAAAGCATTACAAATAAGCAGCCAGACAAAAAGATGATTTTACATCAAAATATGAATTATCAAAGTACCATTAGAAGTACCCACTTCCTTCTAGTTTCACTACCTTGCATAATGAAATGAAGATGTGTACAGGAATATAGGGTATTTCCTTGGTTTTCTTATTGATACGGAGTTTCAACATATAGTAATTCCCAGAACCTCATGATCTATAAAGCTAAATTGTCTCTCTTCCACAGGAAGATAGGCCATGATCGAGCCAATAAATGTTTAATCTTATTGTCTTCTACCAGAAAATAAAGCTCATATTCTCATTTATCCTGCCAAGTGATTCATCTTTACCTAACAAATGACGTAAATCCTCAAAAAAAAAAAAATCTTTCTTAGCCTATTTTTTCTGATTCTAAATTTAAAGTCCAGGAAAAGTTTGACCAAATTCTCCTACATCCAGCAAAACCAGAAAATCATTACCGAGAATGCCAGAGAGTCATAAACTGGGAAATCATGTTGACGAGGCCTAAAGTGAAAATGCTTCCCTTTTAAATATGTTGAACCTCCTTTCTAACATCACTGAAACAGTTTAGCAGCAAAATAATTACAAATTATGCTTCAAAATGAAGATATCACATTAATTAGTGACTTATTTAAACATTCACAGGAAAACCCCTTCTATGATAAGCAACAAGGTGTTACTCTTATCAGTTTCAGCATTTATCATCTCATGAAAATTAAAAATTGAAAACAAGTGCTGATAAAAGTTTATTTTATAATCTTTCCAATGACAAGATATGAAGTGTTAACATTTATCATTTCATGAGAATTAAAAAGTTTAAAACAGGTGCTGATAAAAGTTTATTTTCTAACCTTAACAGCTTTTTGGCATAAACAAAGAACGACTAAGACTTCAAGGAATGGAATTGGACGTGCAATACAACGTATCAGCAGCAGTCAATACCCAAGTTTTATCATAAAATAAGACAATGTATTCTTTAATCCTACAAAATTCGTACAGTGCTGGAATGGATGATCATTTAACAGTGCCAGAACTCACAAAGGTAGTCTAGACCTATGGCATGACAAACAGTTTCGATAATGTCCTATAGAATCAAAACAATCCTAAAAGAAACCACTCTAGACTCCAGATAACTACAAAAATGATGATAACACACTAATAACTACTGATTTGCAAGTTAGTACAACATACACTGAATGCTTCTACATTTGACGGTTTTCTTATTTCTTCTTGAATGTAGTCATCAGCAAGTTCAAAGAGCTGCAGTGAAGTTTGGCATTTATATGGGAAAGCTCGAAAGGCACATATATCCTCCCAGCGATGCTTCAGTCTGCATGAAGTGGTATCAGAAAATTATTAGTTAGCTTGTTGGATAATAAAAACTAACAACAGCAAAACATAAATAAGTAAATAAGGGATTTTCAAGCTTTCTGCATCATAGTCCCTTGAAACATTAAAAATGGCTACTGAAGTCTTATTGACTGTCTTCTCATTACACAACATATATTCTAAAGCAAAAAAGTGAGAGGAAAGAAGAAAAGAAGGACAACGGTAACAACTAAGCAACTCAATACAGAATCAAACGTCAAGTTTTTGATCTTTTAACCTTCATACAATGTAAATTTGGCCATGAATCAAATATAAATGCTTAAGAGCTCTCATCTTTTAAACTGCTTTCAACCTCAAAAGTTTGTTTCCATATGCCTCATAACTTGGTCTGCTCCTTGCCAACTACCGAGAACAAAAGGTTCAGATAGGCAACTCAGGAGTTAATGACTCTGAATTCCTAGCATCTCGTTCATCCAGTTTAGACTTCTTTTGCTTCCAGTATAACTCACAAGCTATCAAGCCACATCCCCTAAGCTTTTTTAAGGTTATTATAGGCAACTTCAAATGTTTTGAACTTGGTTTCCTTGTTGCCTCATGATTGTACCGTATTTGATATTAACCTTCCATCTTGGCAGTGCTATATATTTCAATGAGTGGCATCTGTGCCAAGTGCTGATGCTTATCCTACCAATGTTAACATATAACCTCCCAATATAGCATCGACAGTATAGATCCTTCAATATAAGTTGTGTACAAAGAGACCAATTTGGATGATTCACCAATGGATTACGTTTTACTGCTAGGATCTTCTCATGATTGTAAATGGGAGCGCCACCCTTTCATGACGTCTTTTTTCTTGCAAACTAGCCTCAAAAGAAACTTTTGTAAATAAAAAAAAAATGTCTAAAAATAGAAAGAAACTTTACTAGATAAAATAAAAGGAAGAGGAAGCAAAAGAAACTTTTGTAGATAAAAATAAATGTCTCCAGACTTGTTCAAAAAATCAAATAGTCAAACACTGTTATAAATCTTATAAAATAGCTGTTCTAGTTATATTCTATGCTTTGAATAGATTCAGTGAGACATTGTTAGTAAACTATTTTATAATGATCGTTAAGTTCCTCAAGACAAATTTGAAAATAGAAATCTACAATAAAGGCAATAAAACATTGACTAAATTAACATAAAATGAGTCCCAACAGAATAACCTCCATCTCTTTTGTTTCAAGCCAGATGGAAATCACCATTGAGATGAACATTTGTCTGAGATAAAGGAAAAGGCAATGATGACAGCCATTTGTCTCCTTAATGGGCAAAAACGAATTTGGGATTTTTAGATGAAAATAACTGACAGAATTACCAAAACAAAAAACAGAAAAAATTGACCAAGCCAACAAATTTTATGAATGCATTTCACCAAAGATATTAATTCTCAAAGCACTAACCTTGATGCTGAATTAGCCTCACAGTAGCTTCTTAATGGTACTGGCACACGGAAGTCCATTGTTTGATATCTGTTCACAAAGTACATCACAATCCATTGGTCAATGAGTAGGCAGTATTTAAATAGCAATAAGGCATTTCCAATGTCCCAGAAGCATATCTATTGGTGATGGAGATGAATGCATAGAATGTCCAAGAGTAATTAAAATGACAACAGCAAAATTTCTCAATGTCATTAGAAAGATCCTATTAAAAGAAAATGTGTAATAATTGATGGAAAAGCAGCAACTTTTCTACTATTAAAGAAACGAAACAACTCTATGGGGGCAAGAAAACAAAGAAAAGAAAAAGGAAATAATAAGAAGTTCCATAACTAGCTTATCCATAGGAAAAATCAGCAGTTCACTTTCCAGCTTGCAAAAGCAGGTAAAGTTAATACTTTTCTTTCACAGCATTTACTGTTTAAGTAAAATCTCCCAAGCAAGTACTGAAGGACCATCCCTGCATTCTACTTTTGATAAATACAGCAATAAAAGACAACCTTATGACTGAAGAATATCAAGCCTTGCTCCTTCTTACAAGACAAGGTTTGGCAGTTCAAAAATGGTAAGAAGAAAAATTTGGCACAGAAGAGCCTAAAAGACAGCGGCTTCCTTTGAAAGGTCCCAAATTCAACAATACAAAGAATAAAAAAGATTAAACGGAGCAAAAATTAACAAAGCTGCTCAGAACCAAAATAAATGTTCCAGGAGAGTCATGCAACAGAGGATGGAGCGAGACTTGTGAAGCTGTAGGGCAGAAGGCAATAAATTAATTTCCATAGAAGAGAAAAGCACAAAGAAACAAAATCTGTAAATGAATTGGCTCAAAAATCTCATTGTTGATCTGGGAGCAAATATGACCATGTAGCAATATTAACAAGGCTCCTTCATTACGAAACCAGTTTAATGTTGCCAGACACGTTCAGACTTGATTGCTATGGGATGACCAAAAGCTTCTTAAAGCTTCTTCAACCGTTAAATAAATTCATTCTTACGCTACTGACATAAAATTACTTGAGCTACAATAACTAGTTTAAGTTCAATTAATTAAATGAATTCGTTATTATGCTATTGACAAACCACTAAATTTTTATATTGTATTTGATAAGAGTGATGCCAAGTTTTCTCTTTTGGTCTGAGGTTTAAGTTGACTTTTAGCTCCTATTGTAAAATGGGTCAAGGTCTTTAATGGACCTGTAATGGAGGTCTGTTAAACAGACCTCCTAGAGAAGTGGGTTCCTTAAATGTCCCTTCACGTGATCATTACCAAAAGTCTACAGTTTTCAAAGAGCTTAGTAAGCCAATTTATATTAGTTACCAATCAACCCCTAAATGAATTAGTGGAGAACCATAGTATATACCATGTTAGAGCAAGTAAACTACGAGAAGTAGTCCACAAAATTGATATGCACTTTTCCAAATTAGCCCTGAAAGATGGATTAAAAGCATCAAATTGATACATAAAAAGAACTAAATCACAAGATGTTAAGAGACTTGGGAGATGGTCTAAATCATCCTGAAGCAAATGTACCAATGAATTTTAATCACAAAAGACAGCATAGTATTGGCAATGGCCACAATCAGCTTAAATAAAAGGCTAAGTAAAAGAAGGAAAGAAAATGCCAAACTCATGAGGAATAAAAAAGTATGAGTTTTCTTATGGGACCCTCACATGCGAGACTCGGGATCTTTGTGAGGATCATATCCTTTTCTGATCCAGAATCTGCAAAATGGCCCTGTTGAAAAGTAATAAGCCGCTCTTAACAGAAGCCTGAAAGACAATGGACCAACATCAAGAGCCAAAAGAAATATTTACATGAAATTCACTGTTTAGTTCAAAGACTCAATTTCGATGTCATATAAATGACAGGATAAGATAACAAAAACCACCTTTTGAGCATGTTTTCTCCAAATTCCAGACCTTTGTCAAGCAAGTGCTCAGACAATGAATCTTTTACCCATATTGGTCGTTCATTGAACAGCTCAGCCACTGTGTTCTGCAAGCCCATTGTTCTGAACCTTCAGGTATGAATTTCTCCCAGTTTACCTTTTTTGGGATCTGTTTGAACGTTAAGTGAACTAGAAATAGGAAGAATGCACCCAAATCCAAAAAGTTTAACTTCTTTTCGGCAAGAAAATTAACTTCAACAAGAATGAATCATGATTTCCTGAAAATAGATATCCTTCCACGTTCAGTATTAGTTAAACTAGCCAGAGACAACATGAAGGCACATGACTAATGGTTGACATAAATGGCGAAGATTTAACACTGACTTATCCAATGTCTGTTTTAGTATTCTTTACACCGCTCTGGATGCTTAAATGCTTGATCATGTCTTAGCTTTCGACATTTGCTTAATAAATACTAGAATTGAAGACACAGTCATCAAAATACAGTTATGATGCTCAAGGGTTCCCTGAATTTT